CCCCCCACGCCTTCCGTAGCACGAGCTTGAATCATTTACTATGAAACCGGTGACTAAGGGAGATACAGCGTGTTGAACCACTGAAGCACGCCCCCCCACACACACCAGCCAGAAAAGGGATACCCCGTCGGCTCTGGACCTGGCAAATGTACCTGGGCTCCCCCTGGAGGCCACATTCTCCGAGGTCCCCTTTCGGTCCCCAGTGTCCCTCAGGTATTCCGTTGTAATCCCGGAGAACTGATACACCCTAGTGCTCTGAAACTTGGCCTGTGCTCGAGGCGGCAACCCCTGCCCCTCTTCCTGGCGACGCTTGAACACATCCGTCTGGCCAGGTCCCGTTCACTGGCCAAGAGTGTAGCATTGAACATGGGGCACTGGGGCGGGGGTGCACTCCACGCTGACACCACACCCCACCCCTTAACTTGCTGACCAGGGATAATCGCTTCCTTTCATCGATTCACAGCGTTAGAAAAATGCAGCGTTGAGAGGCAGCGCGGAGGTCAACTGGACCATCATCCTTAGGTTGCAGGGAAGAAAACTGAGACCTAGAAAGATGAAGCGGTTGTCCCAAAGGCTGCTCCCAGTACTCAAGGACTTGGAGCACACTTGGGGAGATTCTCACTGTTGTATTCCCATTCCTCACTTTTCAGGAGGCCTGAACTCTCAAACTCCGAATCTGATTTCCACTCTCCCAGGAAGGCTACGGAAATAACGGAAAGTTCCTTGCAGATTCTCACTGAGCCTCTCCCCAGGCCCCACCCTTTGGCCCTGTGTGTCTGCGAGTAGGAATGCGCATTGCTAGCTACTTTCGATGCAATGAACCTGGAAGATATTTTGTATGGACTGAATAACAGGTTGAGGAAGGCAGAACAGTGCCTTCAGGTCAGTTCCTGGTTCAAGACCGGCCTCTGCCACTTGCTCTTAGAGGTAAAGAGAGCAGGGCCTGCCCCGTTCTTCGCTTGCAGGACCATTTGTTCAGGCAGCATTTGCAGGGACTCGTATTCCGAAAGGAGGGTCTATCCAGGAGCTTGAGAAGGAGAGCACTCAGCCACGAGAGGTGAGTTTGGTCCCAGCTCTGACCCTGGTTAGCAGTGTTACCTTGAGCATGTCACTTCCTTTCTCTGGGCCTCCATTTTCTCATCTATAAATGTGAACTAAGAGTAGGAGAAGCTCTGGGAATGTCATAGCACTCCAACTGATGTCCGATGAATCATGCAGTGGTGACTTCATTGGTGACAGTGACCTCATTCTTTTGGCCCACAGAGATGCCGAAACTGACTGCCAGGAATACTTAGAGCTCTGGGGCTGATCCCACTTGGTGTGTATGTGGGATGGGGAGGGGGGCTATCCAGAATGCCCCCCTGTCAGCCCATGAATGCCTTAGCTGGAAGCACCAATCAGACCTCAACAGAAACCTCATTTTCCCATGAGCAAAGAAGATAATGTCCAAGTGGTTAAAAAAAAAAAAAAAAACTAGAGGTCTGGTTAACTACTCCAATATACTAATT